GGTTTGTGGTGCGCGTGATGTGTGTGTGTGTGTGTGTGTATTGTATGGTGTGTGTGTGTGTGCGTGCCGTGGTGTATGAGGGTGTGGTGTGTGTAATGTGCGTGTGTGTGTGGGTGTGCGCGTGGTGCGTGTGTGTGCGCGAAGTGGTGGTGCGCGTGGTGCGTGCGTGTGTGTGCGCGTGGTGCGTGCGTGTGTGTGCGCGTGGTGCGTGCGTGTGTGTGCGCGTGGTGCGTGCGTGTGTGTGCGCGTGGTGTGCGTGCGTGTGTGTGCGCGTGGTGCGTGCGTGTGTGTGCGCGTGGTGCGTGCGTGTGTGTGCGCGTGGTGCGTGCGTGTGTGCGCGCGTGGTGCGTGCGTGTGTGTGCGTGGTGCGTGCGTGTGTGTGCGCGTGGCGCGTGCGTGTGTGTGTGTGCGTGGGTGCGTGCGTGTGTGTGTGTGCGTGGTGCGTGCGTGTGTGTGTGTGCGTGGTGCGTGCGTGTGTGTGTGCGAGTGCGTGCGTGTGTGTGTGTGCGTGGTGCGTGCGGTGTGTGTGTGCGCGTGGTGTGCGTGCGTGTGTGCGCGTGGTGCGTGCGTGTGTGTGTGTAGGTGTGCGTGGTGTGTGTATGTAGGTGTTGCGTGGTGTGCGTGTGTGTGCGTGGTGTGTGTATGTGTGTGTGTGTGCGTGTGTATGTAGGTGTGCGTGGTATGTGTATGTAGGTGTGCGTGGAGTGTGTATGTAGGTGTGCGTGGTGTGTGTATGTAGGTGTGCGTGGTGTGTGTATGTAGGTGTGCGTGGTGTGTGTATGTAGGTGTGCGTGTGTGTGTATGTAGGTGTGCGTGGTGTGTGTATGTAGGTGTGCGTGGTGTGTGTATGTAGGTGTGCGTGGTGTGTGTATGTGTGCGTGGTGTGTGTATGTATGTGTGCGTGGTGTGTGTATGTATGTGTGCGTGGTGTGTGTATGTATGTGAGCGTGGTGTGTGTATGTGTGTGTACATGGTGTGTATGTGTGTGTGCATGGTGTGTGTATGTATGTGTGCGTGGTGTGTGTATGTATGTGTGCGTGGTGTGTGTATGTATTGTGCGTGGTGTGTGTATGTATGTGTGCGTGGTGTGTGTATGTATGTGTGCGTGGTGTGTGTATGTATGTGTGCGTGGTGTGTGTATGTATGTGTGCGTGGTGTGTATGTATGTGTGCGTGGTGTGTGTATGTATGTGTGCGTGGTGTGTGTATGTAGGTGTGCGTGGTGTGTGTATGTAGGTGTGCGTGGTGTGTGTATGTAGGTGTGCGTGGTGTGTGTATGTAGTGTGCGTGGTGTGTGTATGTAGGTGTGCGTGGTGTGTGTATGTATGTGTGCGTGGTGTCTGTATGTGTGCGTGGTGTGTCTGTATGTGTGCGTGGTGTGTGTCTGTATGTGTGCGTGGTGTGTCTGTATGTGTGCGTGGTGTGTCTGTATGTGTGCGGTGTGTGTGTCTGTATGTGTGCGTGGTGTGTCTGTATGTGTGCGTGGTGTGTGTCTGTATGTGTGCGTGGTGTGTGTCTGTATGTGTGCGTGGTGTGTGTCTGTAGGTGTGCGTGGTGTGTGTCTGTAGGTGTGCGTGGTGTGTGTCTGTAGGTGTGCGTGGTGTGTGTCTGTAGGTGTGCGTGGTGTGTGTCTGTATGTGTGCGTGGTGTGTGTGTGTGCGTGGTGTGTATGTGTACGTGGTGTGTGTAATGTGTACGTGGGTGTGTTGTATGTGTACGTGGTGTGTGTATGTATGTGTACGTGGTGTGTGTATGTATGTGTACGTGGTGTGTGTATGTATGTGTACGTGGTGTGTGTATGTTGTACGTGGTGTGTGTATGTATGTGTACGTGGTGTGTGTATGTATGTGTACGTGGTGTGTGTATGTATGTGTGTGTGGTGTGTGTATGTATGTGTGCGTGGTGTGTGTATGTATGTGTGCGTGGTGTGTGTATGCATGTGTGCGTGGTGTGTGTATGCATGTGTGCGTGGTGTGTGATGCATGTGGTGCGTGGTGTGTGTCCGTGGTGCGTGTATGTGTGCGTGATGTGTGTGTGTGTGCGCGCGTGGTGTGTGTGTGTGTGTGCGCGCGTGGTGTGTGTGTGTGTGTGTGCGCGTGGTGTGTGTGTGTGCGCGGTGGTGTGTGTGTGTGTGCGCGTGGTGTGTGTGTGTGTGTGTGCGCGTGGTGGTGTGTGTGTGTGTGTGTGTGTGTGTGTGTGTGTGTGTGCGCGTGTGGTGTGTGTGTGTGTGTGTGCGCGTGGTGTGTGTGTGTGTGTGTGCGCGTGGTGTGTGTGTGTGTGCGCGTGGTGTGTGTGCGCGTGGTGTGTGTGTGTGTGTGTGTGCGCGTGGTGTGTGTGTGTGTGTGTGCGCGTGGTGTGTGTGTGTGTGTTCGCGTGGTGTGTGCGCGTGGTGTGTGTGTGTGTGTGTGTGTGTGTGTGTGTGTGTGTGTGTGTGTGTGTGCGTGGTGTGTGTGTGCGCGCGTGGTGTGTGTGTGTGTGCGCGCGTGGTATGTGTGTGTGTGCGCGCGTGGTGTGTGTGTGTGCGCGCGTGGTGTGTGTGTGTGCGCGCGTGGTGTGTGTGTGTGCGCGCGTGGTGTGTGTGTGTGTGTGTGTGTGTGTGTGTGTGTGTGTGTGTGTGTGTGGTGTGTGTGTGTGTCTGTGAGCGCGTGGTGTGTGTGTCTGTGAGCGCGTGGTGTGTGTGTCTGTGAGCGCGTGGTGTGTGTGTCTGTGAGCGCGTGGTGTGTGTGTCTGTGAGCGCGTGGTGTGTGTCTGTGAGCGCGTGGTGTGTGTGTCTGTGAGCGCGTGGTGTGTGTGTCTGTGTGCGCGTGGTGTGTGTGTGTGTCTGTGCGCGTGGTATGTGTGCGTGGTGTGTGCGTATGTGTGCGAGGTGTGTGTGTATGTGTGCGAGGTGTGTGTGTATCTGTGCGTGGTGTGTGTATGTGTGCGTGGTGTGTGTATGTGTGCGTGGTGTGTGTATGTGTGCGTGGTGTGTATGTGTGCGTGGTGTGTGTATGTGTGCGTGGTGTGTGTATGTGTGCGTGGTGTGTATGTGTGCGTGGTGTGTGTATGTGTGCGTGGTGTATGTGTGCGTGGTGTGAGTGTGCGCGCGCGTGGCTTGTGTCTGTGTGCGCGTATGTGTGTGATTGTTGTGTGATGTGTGTGTTGATGTGTGTGTGATGTGTGTGGTGATGTGTGTGTGTGTGTGTGTGTGTGTGTGTGTGTGTGTGTGTGTGTGTGTGTGTGTGTGTGTGTGTGTGTGTAAGCAAACTTGTGTACAAGATTTGGTTCAAGTTTGGGAGTGTAAGCGGGTGCTTGCGGGACTGCGTGTTTATGATGCTCCTTAGACTCGTGACCCACATCATCGATACGAATGGCTCACTTCACCGGAGTGCCCCGTTGGCTGGTTAGATCCGACGTCCGGTTCAATGAGATTTGCCGTTGCGCGGAGTAGTTGCAAATGCTGACCAACGGCTCCTAGTCTATGAAACCTCCTCCTCCAACTCGCAATAGCTCTGGTTTCCTCTCCTCTCCTTCCCGCCATCCGCCCTCTCCATTTCAACCCTATATCATTTCATCTACATCGACTCCTTTTCCGGAATATAATGAAATCCATCAATAGCGATGATGGCCATCAAAGGAACCTTCGTATGCTAATTAAAAATGATGTAAGTCCAGGTAATATGACACTGACTGTTTACACTCGCACCCATCAATACTAAAAAAAAACGATCACAACAAAGTGATTACGTTATCAAAAACATTTTACTTCTTGAGACTAGCAGATTTAGGTCTAAACTATTGCTGATTTCACACAATAACGTGTGCCAATTAGTGAAAATCCCATTGATATTTTTTGAGATAGACAAGCCCAAAATTGTATACACCAGCAAGCGCTTGCCATAGCATACCATTTAGCCAAACGCTTGTACTGGAACCAAAATGCTATATTACTTCTAAAATTAACTCATCGACTTCTCCATAACAAACAGCCTAACAGCTTCGATTGAGTGAGGAATTCTGCTGGTACAACAAATGAAGAAAAACAAGAGTAAGTAAAATGAAGATAAATTACTCGATATAAAGCCTGGCAGCGTAAGTTGCCAGGTACCGCTTGAGAAGCAGTCGTCAAATTTTACAAAACACACAACTTAAATGAAACTCACCGTATGGCTATGATCCGTGCGTCCAGTCAGTGGGATTTGGTAGCACTTGGATATAAAGCTGAACGTTGTTAAACAGAACAGTAATGGTAAAAACAATCAGGGACAAAGAAGTAAGCGTACTCGCCAGGCAGGCAAACTTGCTTCAAAAACTGCTACACTAATGCACTAAAACACATTCACTAGACTCATCACTTTATCACTACAATATTTTTTCTTTAAATAGAGGACGCTTACAACTACACAAAATAAGCGGACGTCATATTTTTTCCTTGGACACAACTTCACTGGTGGATATCCCAGATTTGGCAACACTCAGGTCCAAAAATCCAACCAAACCACCAATAATAACAATAAGTTCGATTTCAGGCGTCGTATCCCATAACTCACCGAAGATATCCTAAGATTCGCGACTGTCACACACTATACAATCCTTCCTTTGCCGCGGGCATTCGAAAAATCCACTCTTTAATGCCCATATAGGTCGTAAATGCTTAAAACCCGAGCCCAGTGACGGTGGCTGGGGATGCGCTTGGCTCTGCAGTCGGCCAGAATCTGGACGCCTCGGCACCAGGAACCTCCTCACACGCGCTCACCACACAACGCTCGCTTTCAGCCACGCTTTTCTCGAGGGCCTTTCGCGTTTTGTACACTTTCTTCGTAGATTCCAGATATTTGTCTACCGCAAGGCCGATGTGCTTATAACGAATATCTAAATACTAAGCGCAAGTAAGCGTAAAATAGCCTTCAAGTTGCAACGATACCGAGACCCTGTAACCTCAGATGCCGGCAGCGACCATACGCTCTTAAGCCCCATATTTGATACATGCATCAGAATCGCTTGCAAATATTCTTTCACGGCCGTAATATCTGGCGCCATGTGAATTTGGTTCCAAGAACATTCTTTTGTCGATTCTTTATATTTACTTAACGCTGTTCAGAGTGAAAATCACCAACATTTAGCAGAGCGCTTGGGTTGGTACTGCCAGCAACTACCATGGGTTCAAGTTTACAGCTACGAACCATTGTTATTTATGTAGGCCTACTTGGATATATTTTGTTTCCAATAACAGTATTAATATGAGTTAGTTGACATTATGCATAACTCGCACGCAATCACTGATTTTAAGAATCTGAATGATATTTTAAGACACAAATCACGTTGAAGCGAAAAGATTGGTATTTTCGCTTGACACTACAAGTAACATTTTAGTTTTTTCCTCGTTCGTGCCTGAAATAACGATTCAATCAAATTTTCAAAAGTCAATTAAAGACCAAGCAAGTTTTCTTCTTGAAACATTTCACATGGCTTTCGTTTTATTTATCTAGGAACCACTATGAGAAGTGTTGTCCCAATTTTTTGTACTTGTGCCTATCTGATATTTTCGGGTTGATTAATATGCGGATAAAGAAACTGACATATTTTAGGTCGTTTCAGGGAAGCTAGGAAACCTTTTTTTTTTTTTTTATAACACTTTTCAGATTCATGTTAGTATGCCTAGTTTGCGTATTCCATGTTGCGGGAAGGCGAGTGAAAGAAATGAGAATATTCAATTTATCAGAGAACCCGCCCTGCCTTTAAACTATTTAGGGTACACTAAAAGTCACAGCTCGAAAATTGTATTTATTTATTCGTTGAGTTCCAATATTCGTCCTACATCTGTTGGAACAACGTCGTCGCAAATTAATGCATATACAAATTTTCTTGTAAATGACAGCAGTACAGTAACGGTTCATATTCATCTATAGCATCAATAGTACAAATCGTCCTAGTTGCGTATAATGATATTAATCATAAAGATATATACGTCTAACTAATTCACATTTAAAACTAGTTATCTGAAGACATTTGGCAGTTCAGCACATTCGCCAAGCTGAGATGAGCATCCGAGCCGGCCATCGCTACACTCCACGTATTTTCCAACGATCTCGTCTCAACGTTCCTATTTATTAATAATCTCTAAGTCATTATGGATTGAGGCAAGTCTTGAGTAGAGTTCATTCTGATAATCATAATAAGTTTGGAGACTTAACAAACTTACTAGATATGCAAAAGACAATTCGCCTTACGAAAGTGTAACAAACCATAGTTTCCCCGAGAGGTAAACCTACAGATACTAGGAAGATCCGAAATTTATCCGAATTTGAGAAGCATGGCAAGGGGTCTCGGTGACATAGTGTTGAATACAAGCGCGTTTGCAAACGTATGGCAATAGTTCAGCATTTTTGTAGCTGTGAGGGTCAGCTGAAGTCATGGTTGTGAAGTACTGAAGCTGATCACCGAACCTAAACCAGCGCACCGCCATCCCTACGTGCAGGCCATCGCTACATCCTGCTCCTCATCATGGATATTTCTTGATTTTCTGGTTATTATTAATGGCTGTTGGTAAGTTTTATTTTATAAATATGCAAAGAGTAACGATCTTTAAATAGAAAAACCGAAATCCTATGAGTTTCAATGTAGAACCCCATAAGAAGCTTGTGAACCTTACAGAACCCTCTGTGAAGTGAGTAGCATCCGCTAGCACCATCGCTTTTAGCTGGAATTCGGCGGCGGTTTCATCAAGTGGTGAGGGTCCGTAACGTCCATCGCAAAACCCTGGTTTCTCTGCCTTACCCGTAGAACTGGAGAAGGAGCGAGTTTTCTGATTTCCCTCTGATTGACAATTCACTAATGCAAAAATGTGTGACATCACTATATACAGATGCTATGAGACTTCCGGGTCTTATGCAAACGGAAGTAAGTCTTTAGTATCTTGTAGGTGACATTTCATTGTAGGTCGATGCATATTGTGGCAAGTCGTTTGAAAGTAACAATGTCCAGCGAGAGTTGAAAATATCACATTTATGATAACGAATCCATCCATCCTATGTACAGATTCTCTGGGAAAAGCTTATTGTATCAGGTTGGACTCTTAATCCAAGTTCTGGATATCTGAATTGGTATTACTGAAATCAGCCTGTATGGTTTGCATGAAAAGGTTTACTGCATTGCTTAGTAAAACGTAATTGCATTTTTTCTTCATTTGAAATCCATAGTTCTAAGCATTAAGAATTATTCTGAAACTTGGTGGTCATGGAGTTTGAGTCGGACCACTGCATGAATTATTTACGCTACGAAAACACCTTGTAGTCATAGTGCTCCTGATACTACGATCTAAATGGTGATTTTCGGGATACACTGTTGGTTAAGGTCACAGTTAATCAATTTAAAATGTGGTATCGTTCGTGTTTTATTGGAAGGGTGAAAGGTATTCTTACTCATGAAAGAGTTGCCATATGCTTTTAATTATTTTATTTACTGTCTGTTGGACATTTTCTTTGGGTCGCGAATCGAATATACAATGCAAGCGGAACGTACACATCGTGCATAAATAATAGGTATGTATGTTTTGTGCTACAAAATGTCCACATAAGTTTGAGGAAAATCATATCAATTTGTGTAGGAATTATATATATTTTTTTTTACTACAATGTAACATGACCGAGTTCATTCGGAATACATTTGTGCACTTTTTTCTTCCCTAATCGCCACATCCAGAAGGGATAAGCAAAAGTGATAATTATATGGGAAAACCCGCTTGAATAATTGGTCGTTGGCAACGTAGCACAGTGTTGCCAACGTACTCCGTCAGCTGAACAGTGCAGTAGCCAAGTTAAGCGGATAATAATGCTCAAAGTTGTCATAAATTTATTGCTGACATTTAAGCTATATGGAAAACTTTTATCTCATGTTTCTTATTGTTCAGGTATATTATCACTATAAAGTTATTTACTGAGCAGATTGACATTTGTATATAACACATGGTACTCGGCGAAGGTACGTGTCTTGTATGAATGCGGTTTATTCAGCTTGCTAAACGGAGAATTTTTCGCCTTCCGTATTGCAAGCCGCCTCCTGCCCAGCACGACCTGTGGCGCATTGTCTTTTCGTTTTTAATTTATGGGCATGTATTTCTTGATTTTCCCACAATTTACTAACATTTGAATGTTAATGTAGCATGTATCTAGCTTTTGATTTATTATTTTTATGAAGTTATTCACTTCGCACCATTATTAATATACCTCTGAATACGTAGGAGTCATTTGCTAATAACTGCTTACTCACATATCCATACTTTTTCCTAGTCGTCCATGTATGTATATATATGTATATATATATATATATATGTGTGTGTGTGTGTGTGTGTGTGTGTGTG